AAAAACTGTGGCAAGAAAGGTCGTATAGTGGGGCAAAGTTCACTTAACCACTGTCTCGCTTAGCAACAGAAATTTTGGGCTCAATTGTGGTTGTAAGTCACCTGTATATATTTATGTTAGATAACATCATATATTGAGATTGTAATTGCTGGGAAATGAAAAAATGTATTTTAGGGAAGAGAATCCAATTAAACCAGGGGTAGGCAACCTTGGCTCTTTTATGACTCGTGGACTTCAACTCCCAGAATTCCTGAGCCAACCGGCTCAGGAATTCTGGGAGTTGAAGTCCACGAGTCATAAAAGAGCCAAGGTTGCCTACCCCTGAACTAAACTGAGTCATCTGGCAGCATCAGAGCTACAGGCCTTTACTTCCATGTTAAAGGGAACACTCTCTAGTTTGTTTGTATCCTACCTTTATTTTTATTAATAACTCAAGGCGGCAGAGATTTATTTATTTGTGTTTCACATTCCTGAACTACTTTTCTCCCTCATATCCAACACACCTTCCTCCTATTTTCCCCAGAACAACAACCCTATGAGGTAGATTGGGCTGAGAGACAGTGGCTGGCCCAAGGTTGGCTTTGTGCCTAAGCCTAAGGCAGGACTAGAACTCACTGTTTTCCAGCCAGGTGCTTTAACCACTGGATCAAAAATGGCTCCAAAAACAATTTCCTTCGAGCCGGAATCGAACCAGCGACCTAAGGATGACTCAAGCAGACTTCTACAGTCCTCCGCTCTACCAGCTGAGCTATCGAAGGAAAGCTGCCTATGCTGAGGTGGTTTTTTTGGGGTAGATCCTAATAAGGTATCTGTTAATGCCAACACTATAATGAGCTGGTTTTGCATCTCTTGAAATAGCCTGGAGTGAGTTTTACACAGATGCAATCTCAGAGGCGCTGTGGTTTATGGAAACTGTGGTTAGACCCAAACTGGGCCAAGTGCCAGATAGCAGCATATGGAACGAATGGAAACCGACCCGAATTCTGATGATCCTGGATGGGCGGGAACTTAGAAAATTTACATTCAAGAATGGTTAAAAGGAAATACACTGCTTTCTAATCTGCTTTCTTTCCTATTCCCCTCACAGACTAGGGAAAAAAAAAATTCATGCTGGCTAAAGAGCTAACAGCAAGCAGCCTGATGGATTTTGATCCCTTTGCAAGCAGGATGTGTGAATTTCATCATCCTGGAGAGGAAACAGCTGTGAGTCATAAAAAGGGGCCCCAGCAGACGTTCTTTTTGTTCACTGCTATTCTTTTGCAACCACACATCTGTCACGTTGTGTCTTTCAGGGCTGCTGTGAAATCCACCGCCCCTTGCAGCTGCCAGGTCTCATTGTTGAATTGTGCTCACACACAGCTGCACAGCCCTGGACCAGCTCATTTCATTTCCCCATTAAATCAAACACAGGGATTGGAGCTCAGGAACGGCTGCTTAGTGTCTGGATCCAACAAGCCGAGTGTGGGATTAAAAAACTGCTGAGTTAAATGAGAAGAAGCCTGTTTCAGCTGCAGTGTGTTAAAAGTGGGAAAGGAGGGAATCAAAGCCAAGAGATAATCCTATCCAGAATGAGTCATAAACAGAATACAGAATAACAGAGTTTGGAAGGGACCTTGGAGATCTTCTGATCCATCCCGCTGCTCAAGCAGGAAACCCTATATACCATTTCAGACAAATGGTTGCACAATCTCTTCTTAAAAACCTCCAGTGTTGGAGCAACCACAACTTCTGGAGGCAGGTTGTTCCACTGGCTGCCTTCACTGTCAGGAAATTTCTCCTTATTTCTAGGTTGGAAGTCTCCTTGATAAGCTTTCATCAGTTACTTTTTTTATTGAAGTTTTATTAATAATACAAAATTAAAAAAAACATTGGACATAGATATGACATCACTGGTTCCATACATCTTCCGTCACTTTACAGTAACATTAGTACTCATATAGACATATAGTTCTTCTTTTAAATATACATTTGTCTATAATCTATATTTTATTCTAACACTATACATTTGTCTTGGCTGCCCTCTTGTTATCTATCCAATCATAAAATTGTTCCCAGATTTTATAGTACTTAGTTTCACTTTTATCCTTGAGTTCCAATGTGAGTCTATCCATTTCTGCGCAATTGAGGATTTTCAATATTATTTCCTCTTCGGTTTGGAATATCTTTCTCTTTCCATTTTTGAGCGAAGGCTCTTCGTGCCGCCATTACTATATGCAGTAATAAATAATTTATATCTTTCTTGTATTTTCTTTCTATAATTCCCAGTAGGAAAAATTCCGGTTTGGCCTCTATATCTATTAGCAGGATTTCTTCCAGCCATTTCTTTAATAAATTCCAAAATGTTTGTGCCTGTGTGCATTTCCACCACATATGGTAGTAATTCCCAACGGTCTCTCCACACTTCCAACGTATCGGGGATTTCCCCTTATTCATTCGTGCTAATCTTGTGGGAGGGAGGTGCCACCTATAAAACATCTTATATAGGTTTTCCTTATAGGAGGTTGCCAAAGTAATTTTTAGGGTTTTTTCCCATAGACTTTGCCAATTATCCAAAGCTTCCATCAGTTACTTCTTGTCTTGCCCTCGGGTGCTTTGGGGAACAGGTTGTCCCCCTCTTCTTTGCGTTAAGTCTCTCAAATATTGGAAGACAGCTATCAGACATGATATTCCTAATACTTCTCTCTTTAGCCTCCAGACCCGGTATCTTTGTTGCTTTCCGCTGCACTTTCTCGTGTCTCAACATCTTTTGGGTGTCGTGGTGACCAAAACCGGATGCAGTATTCCAAGAGTAGTCTTAACAGTGCAGTATAAAGCAATACTAATACTTCTCGTGATCTTGATGCTATCCGCGTTGAAATATGATCGCTACATGTGCATCAAACCTATGAGGCAATATTTTGAAAACCTGACCACTAGACCAGGGGTAGGCAACCGTGGCTCTTTTATGACTCGTGGACTTCAACTCCCAGAATTCCTGAGCCAGCCATGCTGAGGGGAAAGGGAGAGGTTTCCAAGCTGAGCCATGCTGGCTCAGGAATTCTGGGAGTTGAAGTCCACCAGTCATAAAAGAGCCAAGGTTGCCTACCCCTGCACTAGACAAACTGTAATCCACTATCTGTGTGTCACATATTGTCGGGCACTGTGAAATCAGGCATTATTTGCCAACAAGGCCAGCCTCTTAACCACTGAGCCACTGCCTCGCCCGCTTGTTACAGAGAACACACCTCTGAAATGCAATGTGACAACAGAACTCCACTTGATGGGAGTCCTGTAATGCAAACCTTTCCCAAGGGGGTGCTCTCCGAGTGCGTGTGTGGGCCTCCAGAACATTCAGTGCCAGCAATTGTGAAAGCTGTAATCCCAACAAAATTGCTGGGATTACAAAACTGTTTTTAGACAAACAAGATTGGACTGAGAATTTAGTTATGTATTCATCAGCAGCATGTTTGGGAAGGTGGATGAAGTTGGTAGTCATCCCCGTTTATGTCCAATGCCTTGTATTTCTATTTAAACCAATCACGCATTCTGAATTCCTCGGATAGAATTCCTTCTATCTCCTCTTTTTGAGTTACATTTAGCAATGGCACTTACAGCCCTCTCTAAGCCGTTTACAGAGTCAGCCTATTTGCCCCCAACAATCTGGGTCCTCATTTTACCGACCTCGGGAGGATGGAAGGCTGAGTCAACCTTGAGCCATTCAAAATTGAACTCCTGGCAGTGAGCAGCGAGTTAGCCTGCAATAAGCATTCTAACCACTGCGCCACCACAGCTCTGAGTTAGAATGCAGCACTGCAGACTAACTCACTGCTCACTGCCAGGAGTTCAAGTTTCACCAGACTCAAGGTTGACTCGGCCTTCCATCCTTCTGAGGTCAGTAAAATGAGAACCCAGATTGTTGGAGGCAATATGTTGACTCTGTAAACCACTTACAGAGGGCTATAAAACACTACGAAGCGGTATATAAGTCTAAGTGCTATTGCTACATTTCCTCTTTGCAGCAAGGTATAAATGGCCCAATTGCTAGATCAGTGTTTCTCAACCTTGACAATTTTAAGGCATGTGGACTTCAACTTCCAGAATTCCACAGCCAACAATGCTGGCTGTGGAATTCTGGGAGTTGAAGTCCACATGTCTTAAAATTGTCAAGGTTGAGAAACACTGTGCTAGATGGAGTATTTTTGGCTAAATGGGTTACCCATAGAAGGTTGCCTTATTCCAGCTATGCTTGCTGGGGTATTCTGGGAGTTGAAGTTCACACATCTTGAACACTGCCTTATACTAAGCCCAGTTGCATTTATTGATCACATTAAACAAAGGTTTCTTTTAATGGCTCAATCCGTATATTTTGCCATACACTCTGATTTACAAATAAGTTACTGCGTTCATACATACTGAACAAAAAACCAAATGAAGCCACATTATGGCTTCACGGAATTTGTGAAACCATCCACTAAACTAGCTAAATGATCTCTTATTATCCACAGTAAAAATTCCTGACCACTCAACTTCTCTTTACGTAATAGCTTGCATGGCTTAGACACTAATAATAATTATAATAATCTCAAGCACCACTTGACCACCATTGGCATTGACAAAAATTACTACTGGTCAATTGCAAAAGGCAGCTTTACTTGGAACAGCTTATATTCTGTGATGATACCTTTAATATTAAATAATGTATGCCTATCCCAGGTCCTCGGGAAGAACTTGATACAGTAGGTGGATAAAAATGCCAAACCCAGTCTAACCATCTGGCTGACTGTGCAACCAACCATAATAATAATCACTCCAATTGCAACCCAAAGGAATGTTAGAGATTATGCAGATAAAATTCATATTATACCTATGCTGATAAAGCAGGTTCACGTGTAAAAAACAGAAGCAATGCAGTTTCCTCCATGTATTTTCTGTACTCACAGCAAGTATTTCTTAGGTTCAGATATTAGATTGTGAAAACGTGGACCAGAAAGTAGAAATGGATACACAGAAGGGCCACCACAGGCATTAATCTTGCACTTTATTCTTAGTCAAGGATCTCAGTAGCATCAAGGACGGACTGTCCTTCTCTTCAGACGAACATAGGCAAGGCACCATGCTGAGACCACAACATACAAGCAAGCAGGCCAAACCCGACATATGTGAATTCAGAAGCACAGGTCCAGGGGTGATATTTAAGCCATTGTAGAAGGGCTACTGTCTGACCAAGTGTGCTTCATGAGCAAATGGCCCCTGTAACAGTTTGGGACAATGAGCAAAGATGACAGCGTCAGAGGTCAGGGTACAAAACTGAAAAGCTTCGGGGAAGAGTTCAAAAAATTAGAAGAGGGGTAACAAGCAGTGAAAATGGGGAACCTTCACGTTTTTCCCCTTTTAGGGAAATGATGATGTATAACTACTCCGTTAGTTAAAACAGATATAAGGCACGTTCAGATGATGATTTTAAGAGGAGATGAACATGCGAGACGCTTATTAGAACGTTCATCCAGAGGGATCTCCTGTCGCAGTGTGGATTGTCTCTCTGGCAGGGAGACCTTTCTGATTTAATATAGGAAAGCTGCTATGGACACAGGCTCCCCCCAAAAAGTGAGATTAAGGACTGGGGTGGTGGTGATGAAGAGAGGACAGAAGAAAAAAGACAAAGAGCAAAATGGAAGAAGTTTGCTAAGTAGAGGAATCTTAGCTATGCGTAGCACCAAACACTATGGCACAAATGGAGAAAATGTTGATCTATCGAGCAAGCTGGGAAGGTTCAGATCAGGGGTGGGGGACGATGGCCCCTTTACCGTGTGTGGACTTCAACTCCCAGAATTCCTGAGCTGAAGTCCACAAGTCGTAAAAGGGCCATCCTTCCCCACCTCTGGTTTAGATAAACAGAACTGGGAAACCCCACACATCACTAGGTTTAATAAGGACTGTAAAACTGAATCCTTTCTGTACATAGGTGACAGCTCCTTAGAGAAACTACTGAACAAAGGCCTAAATGACTTTATTTTGTCAGAAATCCACTGTCCAGCCTTAAAAAAAAACACCAGGTCTTGGATTTCACCTTTATCCTTATTCCATTCTTACATCCTTCCCAGCCTTTTTAGAAGTAGAGCCACTTTTAGATCCTCTAGGATAGGTTATTTGGGGGGAAAGAAATATCTAGTGGACAGCAGACTCCAGGAAAGGAACAGCATCAAGGAACATTTCCACAAGTGGTGGAAATCAATATATTGCCAGGTCTACACTGTGACATCCCCAGCTATTATCACAGTGGTTCAGCGGAGTGACAAGACCTCAGCATTTGTGGATAATGATCAACATGCAACAATCTTGTCCATAATAAAGGTCTGGCATTCACAGGAGGGTGACGATAGGAGGAACGCTAAATATGGGTGCATATTGATGTTGATCTCGGATGTTCACTCTTGAGACTTTTCCTTGTCCTCAGTTCATCCGTCCCGGTTTCTTCCGATTCATCTGCTGGAGAGACAACCCCCCCCACCAAAAAGATTAAAATTCAGTCATCGTTCCCGTGAACATGGAGCTTTTCCCCACTGAAACATGCATTAGATGTGTTTCTTTAAGAGTTGGCTGGGGAATTCTGGGAATTGGAGGGCTCACATCTGCAGGGTGCTCAGATCGGGAAAGGTTGATTTGAGACAGAATAGCCACTAGAACAGTGATGGCGAACCTTTTAGAGACTGAGTGCCCAAACCGCAACCCAAAATCCACTTATGCATTGTCGAGTGCCGGGTCGGTGTGGCCCATTGGCTGGGTGTGGCCCATTGGGTGGGCGTGGCTGCAGTGGTAACGGCAGACTGGGTGGGACTAAAAAGTTCAATCAATCAATTTCAACTTTGCAAGATCTTTTTTTTCCCCGCGAGAAGTTGAAATTGACTGATTGAACTTTTTTTTTTTTGCGCACACAGCGGCAGAGGCCTAAAGCGAAAAGGTTTTATAAAACCCAGCTGAAGGCCTAGGACTGGGGCGACGGTGTGCGTGCCTCTGGCACCCGTGCCATAGGTTCGCCACCACTGCACTAGAATATAGAAGTTCTGCACGTGCCTAAGCTATCTGTGACATTCCAGATGTTGAAAAACTACAACTCCCAGCATCCCTAGGAAGCACAATCATTAAAGGCGAAATAACAACAAGGTTATTGCTCATCCCTTTGGCTAATTAAGGAATGCCTCTTTTGTCTCCAACCAATTATTTTTCCTCCTTCTCTACAGCCCAGATTTCGGGTTCTACTTGGTCCACTAAATATGGAATGGAAGCCAGGATAGTAACTACATATTTACTCTAGCTAGTTGCCACCGAGAAGGGCTTTATACTGGCTCCACCCCTTCCTCCCCACAGCTGAGCAATCCTTGAGCGATACCTGAGAGATGCTAACACCGGTCAGTTTCTCAACAGTTTCAGGCAGCTTATTCATGATTTCCAGCACTTCCCCAGTCATCTTCGCGGCACCCACATCTCCGTTTCCGCTCGACACCATGGTGATCTTACTCACGGAAGCCAACGGTTTGCTGATCTCTTCAGCTATCTGTGAAGGGAAGGCGAAGACAAGAGTGTAGTCCAAGGATTCAGAGAGCAAACCTGGATAGAGATTACGGTTCAAGTCCCTATTTGATCAGGAGAGCAGTGGATGGCTTTGGGCTTCTCTCTCTGTCCAACCTACCATACAAGGTGATTGGGGTAAAAAAAAAAAAACCTAGGGAAAATTCTAATTTAAGACTTTTCCAGTGCAACGTAGTACATAACGGCAAAAAAAAAATTATTACCATCAAAGGAACCATTTAGACCACAGGTCAGCAACTGTGGCTCCAGAGCCGCATGCGGCTCTTTGAGCCTTCCCCTGTGGCTCCCAGCCTCCTCTGCTATTTGCAGAGAGAGACAGAGACAGACACTTGCAATTCCTTGCTTCTCTCTCTGTTTGTGTTTGTGGTTTTTTTTTTGTGTGTGTGTAAAAGAGAGTGGACTCACGGTGTTCTCTGACAAGCTGAAAAGCTTTTTGGGCGGGGCTCCTCCCTTTGCTGCGTCTCTGCAGGAAGCAGGAAGGGCAGGAGAGAACTAGCTAGCCCAGCTATGGTGACTCAGGAATTCTGGGAGTTGAAGTCCATGAATCATAAAAGAGCCGAGGTTGCCTACCCCTGAGCTTGTTGGAGAACATCTTGAAGCCAGCTTGCCAGGTGAGCAGAAGATCGGAGAGAGGGAGAGAGAGGGGGGGAAAGAGAGAGAGAGAGAGAGGGAGGGTGAGAGAGAGAGAGAGAGGAAAGAGAGAGAGAGAAAGAAAGAAAGAGTGGGGGAAGAGGACTGGCAGACCAAGGGCAGAAAGAGAGAGAGGGAGGGAGAGAGAGACAGAGAGAGAGAGAGACCCTTTTGACATCTAAAATGAAGATAACACTGCATATATCCTTTTTTATCTTTAATATATATATATTACAGTCATTATGTTATAAAATATAATATAAAGGTAAAAAAAAGATATATGCAGTGTTATCTTCATTTTAGATATCAAAAGGGTTTTGAGGCTCCCAGTGTTTTGTTTTCAGTGGGAAATGTGTCCAAGTGGCTCTTTGAGTGTTTTGGGTTGCCTACCCCTGATTTAGACTAAGGATAGCTGCAAGAGACCTATGGCCCACAACCGTATCCACCAGTTTTTCCGAATTGCAGGTAGTCCTCAACTTACATTTAGTGACCATTTGAACTTACAACACCACCGAAAAAAGTGACATGACTGTTTTTTTATGACCATGGAAGCATCCCCATAGTCACGTGATCAAAATTCAGATCCTTGGGAACTGGTTCATACTTATGACGGTCACACTGTCCCGAGGTCATGTGATCACCTTTTGTGACCTTGTGACCTGCAAAGTCTATGAGGAAGCCAGATTCACTTAACAATCGTGTCGCTAAGTTAACAACTGCAGTGATTCACGTTAACGGTGGCAAGAAAGGTTGTAAAATGGGGAAAACTCACTTAACAACGGTCTTGCTTAGCAACAGAAATTTGGGGCTCGATTGTGGTTGTAAGCCAAGGACCATCCTGTACAGATAGTCCTCGGGTTATGACGTCAATTGCAAGCACACATCACTTGACCACATTGTTTAGTAACAGCAATCCTGGGCAATCCTGGTTGCTGTTGTAAACCCAAGACCAGCGGTTCTCAACCTGTGGGTCGCGACCCCTTTGGGGTCGAACGACCCTTTCACAGGGGTCGCCTAAGACCATCAGAAAACACATACTTCCGATGGTCTTAGGAACCGAGATACCGCTCCTCTATCTGTCTCCGCACGGCTTCGAGCTGGGGGCCATTGCAGCACCGGATTCGTTTCCGTCGAGCATCTCCTGAGGCTGCGCTGCTTTGCGTCCCTTTCCGCAGAGGAGGCTGAACTAAGCTCTGCCGAGCTGTCACCCTCTTGGCTCTCTCTCTCTCTCTCTCCCCGCCTGGGCGCTTCTCCAACCAGGCTGGGTGGAGCCGGCGGAGCGGCCTTCCTGCCCCCCTCCCCGGCCAGCTGGACAGTCCGGCAACTTTTGGAAGTGAGGCGAGGACAGGCAAGGCGCGCTGAGCCCCGGGCGCGGCGGGTGAGTGGGTGGCATCGGTGCGCGCTTGGAGAGCCTTTAGGGTTGGGGGTCACCACAACATGAGGAACTGTATTAAAGGGTCACGGCATTAGGAAGGTTAAGAATCACTGCCCAAGACGCTTCCTCCCTGGTTGTTTTGTTGCAAATGTTTCATTACCCAAACTAGGTAACATCATCAGTGCTGCACAGAAGATGTTACCTAGTTTGGGTAACGAAACGTCTGCAAGAAAACAAGCAAGCTCAGAGAGCACAAAGGACCCCTCATTTCAACCCTGAGCTACAAATATTCTCCTTTATCTACACGAGAAATAATGGACAGCTGAAGGGATAGAGGTCATGTAAAGTTTGTGAGCAGCAAACTGCCTGATCAAATGCATGACCTCACCCCGTTCATATCACTATGGTGATGTAGGGAAATACCCCAGGCTGGTACATGACCTCACCTGGCTCACATGATATCAGCTAGCTTACACCAACAGGATGTGGCAGAAAACTGCTCCCTGGCTGGGGCCTCCTAGCTGGTATATTCTTAAGGATTGGCAAGGGGCTTCACCAATAGAAATGTTGTTGCTATGCTGATGCCATGTTACTTTATGCTACTTGGAATACCTGTATAAAACAATAGACACTGCGAAGGCAGTCAGACATCTTTGCACCCTGCAATGACTGGTCACTGATTCCATCAGACAGCTTTGTCCAATTAACAAATCTCACTGTGATTTTGTTCAGATGCCATCTTCCTTCGATAGTACCAGTCTTTTATGTCAAAGCCTTCGAGCTTTTGAGGGTGTAGCGGCACAAGGACAACGCAATTAATGACTTAATATCCAGCCATCAATACCCTAATTAACAACTAAAAGCTACTGTATACACAACCAGGAACCATGTAGAACAGCCCAGGGCACACATTCTGGAGAGAGAGAGAGAGAGAGAAGTTCCCCGATGATGGGTTCCAGCACGAGCCCAAAAGCTTGGAAGAATAAACCTCTGGCCTCAGTGACCAACTGTCAGAATCCAAATATATTCCATCTCTAGTTATCAACTATGAAAAACCGCATTTCTGCCTGCTCTGGATTCTGTCATATGAGGAAGGGAAGGGGGTGAACAAAGGGGCTTTATGGCCCTCACTTCCTTCAGCCTACTTCAAAGGGACTGGATGTGGATATCACCAAAAGGACTAACAATAACAATGGGGGTCATTAGCTTTCATGTAATCCTTTCTGAAGTCTCCTCCCGGCAGTGAGGAAAAGGGGGTGAGAACGTAATGCCTGGGATTGTCGCTGGGAGAAGGGGGTGATGGGGTGTGGCTAATGGGGGATCCCTTAAAACCTCGAATGGGAGAGCTTGGACCCAAGTCCTGTCTAGAACACCTGCATCCAGCTTTCTCTTAATAAAGATGCCTGTTGGAAGAAATATTCCAGGAGTTCTGTCTTCTTAAGATGCAAAGTGGGGTGGGTCCTTACACCAACATTATCCTGGGACCTTCATTCCTCAAAGACTTCATCTCCCTCCTTTTCTCCTTGGGATTACACAGCGACGTGCTTACCTCCGGAAGCTTCTCCAGAAGCATGTCCACCATGGCGACCTCTTGATACTGCTTAAAAGCTTCTGCCTTCTTAGACATCTGCTCAGCATCGGCCCGGGCCTTGGCCTCAACTGCGTAGGCCTGAGCCTCGCCCTTCACCTAAAAACGAAAACGGGATTTCGGGGTAAGCTGGGTTCTCATCCACTTCATCCTGCTCTTTGTCCCCATGAGGTAGAGAAGAAGAAATGGCTCACCCGGATGGCCTCTGCCTCCGCCTCCGCCTGCATGATGAGCTGCATCCTGTTTGGGAAGAAAACAGGGACACGGTTACCCCTGTGCCCAGCATCCAACAACAGCCATTTTGGCCTTTCAAAATGGAGGGGAGGACCAGTTAAGTGAGAGGGTGTGAGAGGAGCTCGAGGTGACAAAACTGGAGTAAGAAAACAGGCTTATTTTTCTAGGGCCCAGCATGGTAACCATCCCTGGTTTGCAACTGGAGAGTTAGTTGCAAGAAGTCAAAAAGGATTATACGCATGGAGGCCAGAAGGCTTCTCTGCACCAAACAGCAAAGGATAGGAATGTCTGTGGAGATTCTTAGTCATCCACAGTTGTCTCAAAGATGCTTTTTCAAAAGGCAACTGGATTGTTGTTGTTTTTTTTCCCTCAGAAACCACAACTATCTTCCTTCAGGAAAAAAAAAACAGTGCAGTGGCCTTTTGAATAAGCATCTTTGAGACAAAGGATGGGAAATGTATGGGCTGCCAATCGTAGAACGGGACCCAATGGTGTTCTATCTAAAGCAAGGGTAGTCAACCTTGGCTCTTTTGACTCGTGGACTTCAATTCCCAGAATTCCTGAGCCAGCTTAGCTGGCTCAGGAATTCTGGGAGTTGAAGTCCACGAGTCATAAAAGAGCCAAGGTTGACTACCCCTGATCTAAAGGATGAAAGTTAGACCTCTTTGAAGTTAGAACAATTAGCGGCCTAATGGTGAAGACGCTCGGCTCCAACTTGGAAGGCTGAGAGTTCAATCCGAGGCAGTGGCAGATGTTTCTCTCCTAGGGTGCGAAGAAAATGTATTGCTGCGAACTCCACATGGCGTCAGGAAGGGCATCCGGCCAGTAAATGCTCAGCTCCATCCGGTCACCCTGACTCTATCCCAAACAGGGACTACAGGATTGTGAAAAGGGAGTTTTGAAGTTAGAAAAAGTACCTCAGCAAGAATGCTGTGGTAGCTGTCTTCCTGACACACTGCATTGCTGTGCAGGAATCCTGAGATGTGTGATTGAAAATTAAGCGTTCATTCATGCAAGCCCTCCTTAAACGAATTCTCAATTGGTACAGTCCAAGGATGGTTTTGTCATAGATCAGCTCCCTGCCTAGCCCAAACACATCAGCACCTTGTATGAAGAGGTATTTTTGAATTCTACTCTTTCTGATTATGCACCACATGTGAGTGGGGAGTACAGGTAGTCCTTGTCTTACGACCAGTCGTTTAGTGGCCATTCGACCTGGATTTGAAGTACTGACAGTTGCCCATCTCCACCCTCCGCAATTATGTGACCGTACTTCAGGAGTCCAACAATCAGGCCACATTTATGGTTGTTTTGCAGAGTCCCGTGGTCACCTGACTGAATTTTACGACAGTTTTGCCCAAAAACAAAATTTACTTTGGGCTTTTGGCAAAACTGCACCTGTTGCGAACCACTGGCTTGCTTAATGACCAGGCAGGTTCCATTATGGTCATAACTCGAGGATCATCTGTATTACTTTTGTGGAGATTCATTCCATTATTTAACCCTCCAATTTTACTCTAAAGCAGGGTTCCCCAACCTGTGGGCCACGGCCTACTACCAGGCTGAGGCCTATTGTCCACCGGGCCACGTGAGTGGCTGGTCGATACGCGTGCGCACAGAGTCCCCCCTCGCGTTTGCGTGGCCACAAGCACCGCAGGTGTTTGTGGCCCCACTCACGTGAGCGTCGTGGGTACGTGTGGCCCCACTCATGTGAGTACTCACAGTGCCACTTGCGTGAATACTTACGTTCCCACTCGTTCGAGCATTCGCGTCACTGTGGGCGTTTGCAGCTCCATTTTGAGAACTCACGTTACCGTATCACGAGCACTTGCGGCCCCACTCACGTCAGTACTCACGGCCCCACTCGTGTGAGCAACAGGTGTTCATGTGCGCACACACGCATTCACACACCCCTCCCCCTGCCAACCCCGAAAGATTGGGGAACTCTGCTCTAAAGGGGTACAGCCAGAATCAATTCCCTCCTTGAAAAGTGCTCTTCTGTGGTGAATAAGAGAAGATTCTGGATAGGAAGGAAAAAGAGGGGAAGAGGGGAGCCTTGATGCCCGTGCCTTTCAGCCTCGGCTAATTTCTCCAACCGGTAACGCTCCGCTTCGGCTGGTTTCTTGACCCTGGCCTCCAGCTCACGTTCCTTACGGGTCATCTCCTGCTCCTGGATCTGAATCTGCTGAGTTCGCTCCACCACCAAGACCTGCATCTTCTCCTCTTCAATTTTCTGCTTGGTCTTGGCCACCTGCATGAAGGATACAGAAAAACACCCTGAAGGGTTTCGGAAACTTCCTGGTGAAGCTAGTTCATGGCTCAAAATGTCAACATCCGGCAAATTTAGAGCAGATGCTTATGCTGTAGAGCAGAGATGCTGGCTGGGGAATTCTGGGAGTTGAAGTCCACAGGTCTTAAAGTTGCCAAGGTTGGACATCTCTGCTCTAGATCAGAGGTCCCCAACCTATGGGCTACGGTCCACTACCGGGCTGTGGTCTCTTGGCCGCGTGAGTAGCTGGGCAGTGCACAGGCAAGTGTGCATGCTCACCCTCCCTCGTGCTGTTGCTGCGAGTGTTGTGCGGGAGGTGGCAGCAACGCTACTATTGCATGGGTGGCGGCATTGCCACGAATCTTGCCCGGGGGGCAACAGCGTGTGGGCGGCAGTGCACCACACGCAGGTGGCGGCATTGCCATGAACCTTGTGTGGGTGGCAGCAGCGCCGCAAGTGGCAGGTGTGCTGCGGCATGAGCCATCGCGTGGGAACGGCAGTGTAAGCCTCGCGCCAGGGTGGTGGCACAAACTTTGTGCCGGGACATCACCGCAGGCTGTGGCACGATTATTGCACCGCAGCCGCAGGCCGCAGCATGAGCATTGTGCTTGTGGTAGCATCGCCGCGATCCTGGCGGTGGTACCGCCACAAGCCTCACACAGGCGCTGTCACTGAGAGCCTTGCACACATGCTCGGTCTGTTTGTATGTGCACGCGCATATGTAGCCACATTCATGTTTGCATATGCGCATGTAAGGCACCTGCCCCTCCCTCGGGCCGCCAATCCAAAAAGGTTGGACATCTCTGCTCTGGATGAAGGATGTGGACAGGCCCAGGGGTAAGAACCATGAATATTTTCCTATGCATGTTTCATTTGCGAATAAAATAGGCTACAGCATATTCCAGCATATTCCCCTTGACTGGCTGCAAGGTGGGTGGCTCACCTGGAGCTGATAGGCCAAGTCAGATTCTGCTTTCCGTGTGTTCACCTCGATATCGTAAGTAGCCTTCTTCAGCTCATAATCTCGGTGGGCTTTGGCCATCTCAATATCATTCAAGAACTGAGCAGACAATTTCTCTTGCTTGGCCTTTGCTTCCTAGAGGTGGAAAGATGGAACAACTCAGAGGCAAGGCCCGACAGGAAGAGAGAGGCAAAAACTTAGCGGTGGTGCAAAAGCTTTGGTCACCAAAGGTTTGATTAAAAAAGATTCTCAAGTTCCGTTTGACTCCTAGTGATTTGATGGGCAAGTCTATTTTGGGTTGTTGATACTATTGGGAAATCATTTGGCAGTCGCTGCCTTCCTTTCTTCAGCTCTGGGGTTTCCTAGTGGTCCCCCATCCAATTAATACCCAGATCTAAACTTGCTTAAAATCATAGAGCATAAAGGAGACCTCCTAGTCAAGGGGTAGGCAACCTTGGCTCTTTTATGACTCGTGGACTTCAACTCCCAGAATTCCTGAGCCTGAGCCATGCTGAGGAGAAAGGGAGAGGTTTCCAAGCTGAGCCATGCTGGCTCAGGAATTCTGGGAGTTGAAGTCCACGAGTCATAAAAGAGCCAAGGTTGTCTACCCCTGTCCTAGTCCAACTCTCTGCCCAAGGCAGACGACCTTATTCCATGCCAGACAAATGGGGCTATCCCAGTGATGGCGAACCTTTTAGAGACGGAGTGCTCAAACTGCAACCCAAAACCCACTTATGTATCGCCGGGTACCAGGTGGGCGTGGCTGTGGTGGTCATGGCAAACTGGGTGGGTGTGGCCAAGGTGGGCGTGGTCACCTTGATATTGCTCATGGGGAGGGACACCTGTGGGGCCAGGCAGGATTGGGGAAAATCCAGGGGGTCTCTGGCAGGTGGGGCGGTGGGCAGGAGGTTCATCCTGCGGGGTGAGGCAAGGCAGGGCGGGGGTGCCATTGTCGCAGGGCAAGGTGAGGCAGGGGCCAGGGCAGCCACTGCCTGACACCGTCGCCCCCCACACACACAGGCCAGCGAGCGCAGGGGGACCGACAGTGTCCGTCAGCAACCACAGCCTGCCAACCCCTGAACTGGCGCACTCTGGGACTCCGTAGCCCGCCACTAGTTCAGAGAAGCCGCCTCTGAGCTGGACGGCCGGCCAACAGCTGAGCAGGCGATGCAGTGGGTCGTGCCCAGGAAAAGGAGAGCATGCGAGGCCAGGAGGGATGGGGGGGGGGGAACCAGCCATGCTGGGATGCATCCAGCCACATGGGACCTGGGTGAGTTGGTGGGCGGCTGGTTGAAGAGGGACGGTTGCCATCTCCGAGGCATGGCGCACGTGCCCACAGAGAGGGCTCTGAGTGCCACCTCTGCCATAGGTTCACCACCACTGGGCTATCCAATCTTTTCTTAAAAACTTCCAGCCATCTCTAAAACAAGGAAGATAGTCACACACAGGCAGAGTCCATCTCGACTCTGTCCTTCCACAATGGCCTGAGAGTTCACCTTGATGCCAGCATCCCTCTTGGCTTCAGCTTCTCCAATCCTGGCATCCTTCTGTACCTGAGCAGTTCGGGCTTTCCCCAGAGAATGAAGATAATCCTGCAATTGACAAGAGGGGGAGGCGATGGTCAAGAAAAGCAACCCAAAACCGAGCATCAAGAAAATGCCGGTTTTGCAAACAAAATCTGATAATGCTGAATTCTGATTACTACTACTACTACTACTACTACTACTACTACTACTACTTCTCCTCCTCCTCCTCCTCCTCCTCCTCCTCTTCTTCTAGTTATTGAATAGTTGCCCTTCTTCTTCTTCTTCTTCTTCTTCTTCTTCTTCTTCTTCTTCTTCTTCTTCTTCTTCTTCTTCTTCTTCTTCTTCTTCTTCTTCTTCTTCTTCTTCTTCTTCTTCTTCTTCTTCTTCTTCTTCTTCTTCTTCTTCTTCTTCTTCTTCTTCTTCTTCTTCTTCTTCTTATTGAACAGTCGCAGAACGGACCGGCTCTAGCCAATGGGGAGACCCAGCTTCTAATCCTCCCTCAACCATGGAAATTCCCTGAACTAATCCTTCTGTCTCGGCCCAACCTACCTCACAAGGTTGTTGTGGAGAAAAATAGGAAGAGAGCAATATGTATGCTACCTTGATCTTCTGAAGTGGAAAACAATGTGGAAACGATGGTTGCAACAACAAAAAAACGTACGTTAAGACCAGGAAACCGAGAAAACAACTCAATTTGGCTCCATCTTATTTCACTATAGGAAAGGAAAACTTTCAAGATTTTGTTACTATAGCCCAGGGGTCTTCAAACTTGGCCCTTTTATGACTTGTGGACTTCAACTCCCAGAATTCCTCAGCCAGCCATGCTGGCTGAGGAATTCTGGGAGTTGAAGTCCACAAGTCATAAAAGGGCCAAGTTTGAAGACCCCTGGGCTATAGCCTTTACCATAAACTAGACCTCCAGTCAAACGTATAGAAATTTATTTCTTCACCTGACCAACCTTGGAGAAGTGACAGACATAAATCCAAACAGTCAATAAATATGCTCAGCCCCAAACGTAGTATCAAAAGGAACTCTTATGTCATCTTTTCATTAACAAGAGAAAAAAAAATATGGATCAAGCAATTCCATTTGGCGATGGGACAATGTTGACAATGAGGGTCTTCTGTTTCTATTGCTGAAAGATTTGTGAACCGGACGTCCTTAGCAATCTCCGGCCTACCATATCCCTGTGAGATCAGGCGTTCTCAGCGACAAGGACAGTAATTAGCTTCAACACAAGACAGCACATGTGCACCTGGTCATCGTGGATATCCTTGAGGGTGTAACTGACCACACTGATCCCCATGTTGACTAGGTCAGACGAGGCCACTTTGAAGACCTGCTCTGAAAACTTCTGACGGTCCTTGTAGATTTCCTATTTAAGAAAGGGAGGTAACCACGTCAGGACCAAGCAGAGACATTGATCGCCAGTTTTTAAGCCCATAAGCAAAGTAGTGTCAGCTTTTCTTTTTATCCTATAGCCCTATAGGTTGTGTCTTTGTTTGTGAACTCTCAAAGCAGCCTTTCCTCACTGAACCCTCTCTGTGAGGGTTGGGATCCCAAGGCCCCATGGTCCCATGGCTAATGGAAATCATAATTCAGTGCAGGGTTGTCTACAGGGAGGGGGGTCTTTAAACTTGGCCCTTTTATGACTTGTGGACTTCAACTCCCAGAATTCCTCAGCCAGCGTGCCTGGCTGAGGAATTCTGGGAGTTGAAGTCCACAAGTCACAAAAGGGCCAAGTTTGAAGACCCCAGCTCTAAAGGGAGGGGAACAAAATAGACAAGAGGATGGTCACAACCACGCCCATCAAAAGCCCATCCCTTGTTAATGTGTCTTGTGAAAAAAGGGGTGAGGTTATAATCACATGGTCTTCCCTCTTTCGGATACCCCTGATTTCATTCAACTGGATACCGAACTGTTGAAAAGCTGGATTAAAGTAACAGCCCAGTGTACACAACTGGAGACAAAACATCTAAGCTTTCAAGAATAACAGAGTTGGAAGGGACCTTGAAGGTCTTCTAGCCCACCCCCCTGCTCAAGCAGGAAAGCCTAAACCATTTTAGGCAAGTGGCTGTCCAATCTCTTGTTAAAAATCTCTAGAGATGGAGCACCCACAACTTCTGGAGGCAAGTCATTCCACTGATTAATTGTTCTCACTTTCAAGAAATTTCTCCTTAGTTCTAGACTGCTTCTCTCCTTGATTAGTTTCCACCTCACCTCACCCATTCTTCAACCAGCGGCGACATCACACACACACACGTTCCCACAAGCAACCTTACCTCCACTGTCATATGGGCCATGATGGCTCTCTGATGCCCTTCCAGGGTCTCCAGAGCAATATGGGTAATTTCTGCTTCAGACTTGCCCAGGAACATCTGGCAAGCAGCTGCCAGCATCTCCTTGTTCTGGCCCTGGATCTTCACCTAGGTGGGAAAGATGGTGTAGAAAATAAAAGAAGGATGGGAAGCGGCCCCTGCTGCTATCTCACCCTCGACATGGGGTTTGTCAGACTAAGGGGGGGGGTTCTCTTCCAAGCAGTTGGTGATGGTCCTCTCTGTCCCAGAACAGAGTAATAATAGTAGTAGTAGTAGTAGTAGTAGTAGTAGTAGTAGTAGTAGTAGTAATAATAATAATAATAATAATAATAATAATAAAAAAGTTGGAAGGGACCTTGGAGGTCTTCTAGTCCAACTGCCTGCTCAAGCAGGAAACCCTACACCTTTTCAGATAAATGGTTGCTCAATCTCTTCTTTAAAGACTTCCAGATAGAGCATCCACAAGTTCTGAAGGCAAGCCGTTCCACTGATTCATTGTTCTCATTCTCAGGGAATTTCTCCTTAATTCTAAATTGGTTCTCTCCTTGATTAGTTTCCATCCATTGCTTCTTGCCCTGCCTTCAGCTGCTTTGGAGAATAGGTTGACCCTCTCTTCTTTTGTGGCAGCCCCTGAGATGTTGGAAGACCACTATCATGTCACCTCTAGTCCTTCTTTTAATTAAATTAGACATACTCAATTCCTGCAACGGTTCTTCATATGCTTTAGCCTCCAGTCCTCTGAACATCTTTGTTGCTCTTCTCTGCACTCTTTCTAGAGTCTCAACATATTTTTTACATCGTGGTGACCAAAACTGGATGCAGTATTCCAAGTGTGGCCTTACCAAGGCATTGTAAAGTAGTATTAATACTTCACGTGATCTTGATTCTATCCCTCTGTTAATGCAGCCTAGCATTGTGTTGGCTTTTTTTTGGCAGCTGCAGCACACTGCTGGCTCATATTTAAGTGATTGTCCACTAGGACTCCGTCTCACAGTTACTACTGTTGAGCAAGGTACCCCCTATACTATACCTGTACATTTGGTTTTTCTTGCCTAAATTTATTATTTTAATTTCTAAATGTAGAACCTTACTTTTTCCATCAAATCAAATCAAGTAACGGTTGATTTGTCTGGTATGGGGATTCTGCCCTGGGCAGAAGGTTGAAGACTCTGAGGCACCCCAACCTCTTGGGCATCAGGGACTGGTTCCATGGAGAAAGATTTTTCCGCAGACCAGTGGTTTTGCAGGCTGCCTGCATCTCATAGATGGGGCTTCGCTTGTTTGCCTGGCCCGGTTTCCGACATGCCCTAGATCGGTGCCGGTCCACAGACCAGGGGTAGGGACCCCTGCTCAAAGGTCCCTCCGACCTTATGCAGATAGTCCTCAATGTATGACCAATTTAATGAATAGTCAAAATTAAGACAGAGCTCCCTGAGGGAACGTAGGACCTGGATTCAAAGTTCCCAGGAATTTGTGACCACACTTTAGGCATTCAGCGATCAGGCTGTTTGTAGCATTTTGTGGTTACATGGCTGCATTTTACAAATTTTGCCAAAAACTGGCATTTACTTCCAGTTTTTAGCAAAACTAGCCCATAGCAAACCACTGGTTCACTTAATGTCTGCTGCAAAAAAAGTTGCAAAACCAAGTTGGTCATGTGAGCGATCCGATTTACGACTGTCCTGAGTTAGGCAGGTTCCTTTACAGTTGTTAACTCAAGGGCTACCTATATTGTGTGATTAACGCTGGGCACAACTGATGCACCGCTGGATGCATTTTGCACAAGGTAGCAAGTGGAAGATAATAAATCATTTCGGGAATGGCCGAAATGTTAACTACAAGCCACCAAAGGAATAAAAAAATAAAATAAAATGAATTCAGTTGGGATTGTAATCCTGTTTTTCCCCAGCAGTAGGTCGCTTTATACAATATCCTTCAGTGTATTGCTGAAAAAAAAAAAAGAATTACCTGCGCGATGCCAGTGACTGAAATGGGGACTCCATGTCGGGTGTAAACTTTCTCACTCTTCACATTTAGGGTCAGGGTGTTAAGTGAGATCCTATAAGAGCAGGACGGAAAGGGTTAATGCATACACAAGCTACACATCCATCAGCTTCTAACAAAAATGTCACCCTGTACTTCACAATCTTCTATTCCGTTTGAAACCCAGTAAGGTTAGTGTTTGAAGGACACCAACATGGTTGAACGGCTCAGTATCTTTCCAATCCTGGATAATCTCAGAAGCTAAGAAGGGCCAGCCCTGGTTAGCATTTGGATGGGCAACTAAAATGACACCAAGGGGATACTTTTGCTCTGTTAAAAGAGTGACCAAGCCTTGGTGAGATCTTGGGTGCTTTTAAATACAGCCTCTGCAGAAAAATTTACCTCTGGATCTGTTGTACGCATGGTACGACAAACACACGGCCACCAGCAATCATCACTGGGGGGCTGCGGCAAAAACCTAGGGAAAATGACAAAACAGTGCAGAATCTGCCCAGGCCAATCAGATCCCTCAGTCAGCCCGGTCAATCAGATCGCTGGGTCAAATGTTCATCATCATCACCATCACCATCACCATCATCATATTATTATTATTATTATTATTATTGTTGTTGTTGTTTTGTTGTTGTTGTTGTTGTTTTGTTGTTGTTGTTATTATTATTATTACTACTACTACTAGTAGTAGTAGTAGTAGTAATAGTAGTAGTAACTGATAATAAAAAACAAAAATAGAAGAGTATTTAGCAGTCAAGGAAGCTGTCCATGACTTGGGGAAAATGCAAAAAAATGTCCAATTAAACTTAAAGAGGAAACAGAATGGAATACAGGTAGTCCTTGACTTACAACCATTTGTTTAGTGACCGTTTGAAGTTACATGATTGGTCCTCACAATTACAACGATTGCAGCATCTCCGTGGTCATGTGATCAAAATGCAGGCAATTTTGTAAAAGGCTGGGATAGGACGGTTGCAGCAGCCCGGAGTCATGTGATCAACACTTGCCACCTTCCCAACCGGTTTACAACAAACAAAAACCATGATTTACTTAATGACTCCACCACTCACTTAACAACCGCAGTGGTTTGCTTAATAACTGTGGCAAAAAGGTAATGAAAACTGGGCAGGACTCACTTAAGAACAACCGTGCTTAGCAGTGGAAATTCTGGTCCTAATTGTCGCTATAAGTTGAGGACTACCTTATACTAAAAAGAGTGCTGAGCAAGAGCATCCAATAGTACAGGATTTTTTTTATAGATCCCCTACATAAACTACTCCATAGGACTGTGAAATGCTTTGGCTCCTGTTCCAAAAATCTGCTTTAGAAAGTGTAGGGCAGTGGTGGCGAACCTATGGCACGGGTGCCAGAGGCGGCACTCGGAGCCCTCTCTGTGGGCACACATGCCGTTGCCCCAGCCTTGCCTCCCCCGTGACCCCCTCCTCTCCTGCAGCCCCCCTGAAGGAGAGTCGCCCTCGAGCATGGCCCACACAGAGCAGCGCAGCCAAGGACATGGCAGCCAGGCAGCGTAGACAAGACTCTGCTCTCACACCCCAGCATGCAATTGATGCTGCAGGGCGCAGGCAGAGGGTGTGGCCGCCATAGCGCTGCTGGGCTGCCTGGGCGATCTGTGGCAGGCCCTGGAGGCAGTGAGTGGTCCTGTGGGCAGGCGGGGCGGGTGATGGGGGGACAGAACAGGGGCGGGGCAGGGGGGTGGAGCGGGGGCGGGGCCAGTTTTTGGGCACTCGGTTTCTAAAAGGTTCGCCATCACTGCTGTAGGGTCATGATCCTAACACTCTTCCGTCACTCTTTAAAGCAGCTACGTCTTTTCCTGCACAGCCCTATAACAAGCTTGAGGCTGTGCTCTAATGCAGCAGCCCCCAAGCTTTTGGGCACCAGGGACTGGTTCCGTGGAGAGAGGCTTTTCCGTGGACCGGACCGGATGGGGCTTCATTTCTTTGTGTGGACCGGTTTCTGGCGTGCTGTGGACCGATGCCGGTCCACGGACTGGGGGTTGGGGGACTCCTGCTCTAATGGCTGTGCGGCCAAAACATAATTGTTGGGAAACAGGAAGCAGGCACAATCAAGGGGAAAGCCCTTGCTGGAGTTTTTATTTGTGAAAATAAAAACACAGAATGCCTAAAAGAAAGTGAGGAGAAAGCAGTATCTCCAAATGAAGTCCTAAAGCGCAAACGTCACCTGGACAGCCCAAAGATGGTTGAATGTGCAAAGTGATCCATGCATTCTGGATCGTGGCTAGTTTGAGCAAAGGCACATTGCCGCATTTTGTTGCCGCTCTGAAGGCTGATCTGATCAGATAAAAAAAAAGCTAAGAAAGAGGAACAGAAAATGGAGCACTTACCTGAGACGACCATGGCTTCGTTGGGGCCACAGGTAAAGAACATCTTGACGCTTAGGGAGTCTGGAAAAGGAACAGGAAACTGGGATTAGCAGAAACTTGGAGGTCATCTAGTCCAACCCCCTTGTTCAAGCAGCAGACCCTATACCAGTGGTTCTCAACCTTTTTAATGCCGCGACCCCCAACCGGTCGTAAGTCGAGGACTAAACTGGTCGTAAGTCGAGGACTAAACCGGTCGTAAGTCGAGGATAAACTGGTCGTAAGTCGAGGACTACCCAACCGGTCGTAAGTCGAGGACTTTCCCTGCCCGGGAGCGCCGCGCATGCATGGTTCCGCCCCCTGCGCCGGTCGAGGCGTAGCTGGCAGGCGGCAGAGACAGAGCAGGCCGACCACCAGCTGGCCCAGCCCAAGGGAGGTAAGGCACCCGCCGGAAAAGGGAAAAAAAAATGGCGGACAAAAAAAATGGCGGACAGCCTTGCTTGGCGACCCCTGTGAAATGGTCGATCGACCCCAAATGGGGTCGCGACCCATAGGTTGAGAACCGCTGCCCTATACCATTTCAGACAAATGGCTCTCCAATCTCTTCTTAAGAACATCACTTCCGAAGGCTCTACTGATTAACTGTTTTAACTGTCAGGAAATTTCCCCTTTTTTCTAGGTTGGTTGTCTCCTTGATTAGTTTCCATCCATTGCTTTTTGTCCTGCCTTCAGGTGCTTTGGAGAACAGGTTGACTCCCCCTTCTTTGAGGCAGCCCCTCAAATACTGGAAAGCTGCTATCACATCACCCCCTCGTCCTTCTTTTCATTAAACTAGACATACCCAGTTCCAGCAACCGTCTATCATATGTTTTAGCCTTCAGTCCCCTAATCCTCTTTGTTGCTCATATTTCATATCTTATTTCATATCTGGCCTGTTTCCCCTGTTGCAATACATCCTGCTTGCATCAGGGTGGGGCAATATGAAGCCCTCCAGATGTTGCTGAATTCCCAGATGTCCAATAATGGGAGATACAATTCACTCCAGACTAGAAGTTTTTTTTCATCCTCATCCAGAATTAAAATACACTACACCCCTACACACACACTTTGAGCAGGGTCCGCAAGATTGTCTGGGACACAACACATCCTCTTCACGACCTGTTTTTCTTGTTACCTTCTGGGAGGAGGCTCCGTGGTATCCGAAGCAGAACGTGCAGATTCAGTCACAGTTTCGTTCCATACAGTATCAACCTTGTGAACTCTCAAGTTTCCTCTTTCCGTTATGTATTCAAGATGGACAGTGATTAATATTTATATCTTATTTATATGTAAGGGTGTAGGTCAGAGGTAGGCAACCTTGGCTCTTTTATGACTCGTGGACTTCAACTCCCAGAATTCCTGAGCCAGCCATGCTGAGGGGAAAGGGAGAGGATTCCAAGCTGAGCCATGCTGGTTCAGGAATTCTGGGAGCTGAAGTCCACGAGTCATAAAAGAGCCAAGATTGCCTACCCCTGGTGTAGGTATATACGTATGTTGTATATAGCATATTTATATGTGTGTTATGTATGTGTACGCTTTGAGAGCAACTAAATTTCATTTTTAATGTGTGTCGTTGTGCCCACAGTAAAAAATGACAATAAAGGTTATCTATCTATACATACACAGACACAATTAATCTTCCCCAGTCAAATTAAGCAGATGCAGTCCTAGGAATCAATGAACTACCCAATGGTTAAATCTGCAGCCAAGCTTGCAAGGCAAACAGATTCCTTAAAATCAACTCAACTTTGGACTCAGAACAGGCAACAACTACGGCTCGATCACAGAACACCAACTTTGCATGCAGAAAGTCTCACGTCCATTTCCAACATCTCCAGTTGCAGTGTTTCTCAACCTTGGCAACTTTACGATGTGTGGATTTCAACTCCCAAAATTCTCCAGCTAGCAACACAGTGAGTTAGAGTATGAAAAGATCCTTGCAGGAAACACCAAAGAGTTCTTATGAATGAAGAATTCTTGATAATCTACTGAAGGTAATGAAGCCACCAATGCCAACTAAACTGGTCACTGAGCTTGATCTAACCCAGGAATTTTGACAATTTCCAAATATATGGATTCCAACTCCCAGAATGTCACATAATCCATACATCTGGAAGTTGTCAAGAATTGGGAAATCCTGGTGTAGCAGAAACTGCTTGCTTCTATGAAGATTCACATAGCACCTTCCTCAACCAGGTGCCCTCTAGATGTGCTAAGTCCACTCCCTCATTTTCCATTCGAACTGTAACTATAACACAAACACACCTGAAAAGGCATCTGACTGAAAGAATCTCCTTTATAGATCAGATCGCAAACCTGGCAATCAAAACAAAACCTTGCTTGAATGAGAGTTTTGTCCATTGCTACTGATTTTTTACTGCAGGGATCTCCAAGGCAACTTTTAAAACTTGTGGACTTCAACTCCCAGAATTCCTCAACCCGCCACGCTGGCTGAGGAATTCTGAGAGTTGGTCTACATGCTGACTGAGGAATTCTGGGACTTGAAGTCCACAAATCTTAAAGTTGCCAAGTTTGGAGAGCCCTGTTCTATTGCAATGAGTATAGCCAGAGACGAGTTATGGGTTTCTCTTTGTGTCGGTCCACTGTTATTTCTGACCCAAGAACCTTTTCACTCTGTGGTGGCTCTTGCAGGAGACTGGGACCACACATTATAGTAACCCAACAGATGGCTGGTTTGTTCTTAGCTTACATCTGGTGGCTGAGCTACGCAATTTTGTATGAACTAGGATGCCTCTGAGATTGCATCTGTGTAAAATTCACTCCAGGCTATTTCAAGAGATGCAAAACCAGCTCATATTATACTGTTGGCATTAACAGATACTTTATTAGGATCTACCCAAAAAAAAACACCTCGGCATAGGCAGCTTTCCTTCGATAGCTCAGCTGGTAGAGCGGAGGACTGTAGAAGTCTGCTTGAGTCATCCTTAGGTCGCTGGTTCGATTCCGGCTCGAAGGAAATTGTTTTTGGAGCCATTTTGATCTAGTGGTTAAAGCACCTGGCTGGAAAATAGTGAGTTCTAATCCTGCATTAGGGACAAAGCCAACCTTGGGCCAGCCACTGTCCCTCAACCCAACCTATCTCATAGGGTTGTTGTTCTGGGGAAAATAGGAGGAAGGTGTGTTGGATATGAGGGAGAAGGGTAGTTCAGAAATGTGAAACACAAATAAATAAATCTCTGCCGCCTTGGGTTATTAATAAAAATAAAGGTAGGATACAAACAAACTAGAGAGTATTCCCTTTAACACGGAAGTAAAGGCCTGTAGCTCTGATGCTGCCAGATGGCCCAATTTCATTCAGGGGTAGGCAACCTTGTCTCTTTTATGACTTGTGGACTTCAACTCCCAGAATTCCTGAGCCAGTCCACGAGTCATAAAGAGCCAAGGTTGCCTACCCCTGAACTAGGACATCATGGTTTTCTCAGCAAGCCATGGTTAAAATTCTGGTTTATATTCATGTGTACACTGAGCCAAAATGAAAAGACATCCTTACATTCAAAAAGCTTGAAAAGGCACATATATAAACAGCAAAAGACGCTCAGAAGAACTTTGTTATCTCTTTAACTCCAGAGGAAATTAGTCAGAAATTGTCTGGGCCCCACCTTTCCAAGTCTGGTTCCATTTATTTATTAGCATTAAAGTCCATCAAAACTATCAAAAAACTAATAACATATTAAAAAGCAGTTTTATCTGCGGTGGGAAAAAAAATATTGTGCTCCAGGGAGGTCTTCTCCAATACACCTAGTCTTCGACTTACAACAGTTCATTTAGTGAGTGTTCGAACTTACAACAGCTCTCAAAAGAGTGTCTTATGACTGTTTTTTACACCTATGACCATTGCAGCATCCTCATGGTCATGTGATCAAAATTTGGACACTTGGCAACTGGTTCATATATATGAGGGTTGCAGTGTCCCAGGATCATGTGATCCCCTTTTGGGACCTTCCGACGATCAAAATCAATGGGGATGCCAGATTCACTTAGCAACCGTGTTACTAACATAGCAAAAGCGGTGATTCACTTCACAACTGTGGAAAAAAAGATCGTAAAATGGGGCAAAATTAACCACTGTCTTGCTTGGCAACAGAAATTTTGTTGTTGCTGTTGTTAAGTCGAGGACTACTTATATGCCTTCAATCAGAAGAAATGAGATGCGATCCAGTGGTGGGATTCAAATATGTGAACAACCGGTTCTCCGTGTGGATGCCGCTTTTGGAAGTCCATTCCGGGCTTGGGCAACAAAAAATTAGCTACCGGTTCTGCCGAACTGGTGCGAACTGGCTGAATCCCACCACTGGATGCGATGTGATCACAACTATCAAGATCTCATGTTTCCATAGTTACCAAACCTTTTCACATGACGGAGATGCTTGGAACTGGACTTTGGATTGGCCAATATGAAAAGGGGCAAAATATACAAATTCCAAGCCTTAAAAGAGCTTTGAAGTTCATGACTGACTTTTGGATTCATCTCCAAGACAGGGTAAGGAGGTTACCTCCACCCCCAGGTCTAGTTAGCTAAGCTCGCTGTTTTGAGTTTATCTAAACCTTCCAGAACACTTTTGAAGGCAATCCCACCTTACAATACATCCTGACAAGAAACTGTATCAAAAGTGGTTGGATGAAGAACCTCATTCTACAAGAACACTTGTTAAATGTCAGTGCAATAAGATATTCATTTCTAACACATCTTAAGAGTGGTGTTTCTCAAGCTTGGTAACTTTAAAATGTTGATTATTTTTTTTAACTCCCAGAAATCCCCAGCCAGCATGGGCTGGCTGAAGAATTTTGCGAGTTGAAGTCCACAAATCTTAAAAGTCACTAAGGTTCAGAAACCTTGACCTAGAGTTTTAGTGTTTTGAAGGTTAGGTTATTTTACAATGTTGGATCATTACAGAATGTTGAATGTTACATAAAATACAGGTAGTCCTTGACTTATAACAATTCATTTAGCACCTGTTTGAAGTTACAGTAGCGCAGAAAAAAGCGACTTATGAACAGTTTTCACACTTATGACCATTGCACAGTCAAATGATCAAAATTTGGGTGCTTGGCAACTTCCATGCATTTATGATATCCCGTGGTCATGTGATCACCACTTGTACCCTTCCCATATAGCTTCCAACAAGCAAAGTCAACGGGGGAAGCCAGATTCGCTTAATGACCGCACGATTCACTTAACCAATGGAGTCACTTAACAACTGTGGCAATAAAAGTTGTAAAATGGGGCACATTTAACCACCTTGCTTAGTAACCAAAATTTTGGGCTCGATTATGGTTGTAAGTTAAGTGACTCTACCTGTAATATACATTGCCCAGAGCTTTTGCAGTGGGTGAAATATGCATTTATACATAAAGTGGAAGGGATCAGAGAGGTCACCTAGTCCAACCCCCCTTCTCAGGACAAGATTCTGTGAAAGGAAACCGTCCAGCACCGTTATTCTAAGCAAAACATTTCAATGCTCAATAACTCTAATTCCTCCTAATTACCCAGATTCTCATGCCTTTTAATTGCCATCCACCGGCTCCCCATCGTGTGTTGCTTTTCGATGTATATTTTTTCCTAAATACGTCAATCATGGCAGAGGCTATTCCCCCCACCCCCACCCCCCAAAAAATCCCAACCCAACCACCTGGAGCCATTTTCCAAAGAAAAATGTAATTTAGCCAGGGGGGTGTTTAGATGAAACCCAGAGCTGTGAGCTTTTTCTAAGGCGGGCAGATCACGAGGACTAGCAAGTTAATTCAAAAGAACCACCCCCAAAGAGGAAGGCGAGCCAGGGAAATTTCCACACTACAGGATGATGATGATGGCGACTTCCACACCCTGTTAGTGTGGAATTTTTCAGAGGTAACTGGAAGCTTTTCTTTCCTAGGGATCCGTCGGCCTCCCGACGGCTTAATTATGCAATACATTCGCTGAGGACACAGCCCGGGAAAAAACCGCTCCTCTCTGAAAACAGGCAGAAGCAGGCCTCTTATTTGTGTGCATTTCGCAAAAAGCGCAAGGAGAGCGAGCAGGACCCCCCCCCCCCACACAACGGGGCTGCGCGCTAGCCTGAATACCGCGCCCGCTTTTTTTTTTCTCCCTTGCACGCCGCTCGTTCGTGCAATCCCCTCCCCGGCGGCTTCCCGACGCCCGGGCCCTACCTGCCTTCCCAGGACCCGCGCGCGCTCGCTCGCTCGCCCGCTCGCTTCTGCTCCAAACAGGCGCACCCTCCCTTCCTTCCTTCCTTCCGACGCCGCCGCGCCTTTCCCGGCAGCCCTCGCTGGCGGCTCACTTTCGCTTTTCCACAAGCGCCGCGCCTGCTGGAGGCGGCCGCGCGTCGGAAGGGCGGCTGGTCGCGGGAGGGGAGCGACGGCGCCGCCTCGCTTTCTCGCCCGCCCGCCCTGGCAGGCGGAGTCGCTGAGTCCTCCTCCGCTGGGTGAAGCGGCGCAGATCCGCACCTGGTGGCCGCTAAGAATATGGGAAATTGAGGCTGAAAGCGGGAGGGAAGGGGCTGGAATGGGAGGGAGGGAGGGAGGGATGGTATAGTTTAGTTTAGTTTAGTTTTATTAAATTTATACCCCGCCCTTCTCCCGGAGGACTCAGGGCGGCTTACAGCCAGTTTAAAAACAATAATACAATACAATACAAAATTTAAAAGTGATTAAAAATAAATATTTAAATAGGCCGCTTCTACTAAAAATTTTGTTAAAACCAATTTAAAATGCCCCTAGGCCAGTCCTGCCCGCTGAGCAAGGGTAGGCAACCTTGGCTCTTTTATGACTCGTGGACTTCAACTCCCAGAATTCCTGAGCCAGCTAAGCTGGCTCAGGAATTCTGGGAGTTGAAGTCCACGAGTCATAAAAGAGCCAAGGTTGCCTACCCCTGGTATAGAGAGAGAGGGAGGAAGGAAAGAAAGAAGGAAGGAAAGGAAAGAAGGAAGGCAGAAGATGAAGGAAAGAAGAGGGAGGGAGG